TTATTACCAGATGACACCTTCCGAAAATTAATTATTATTCTATGGTAGTACATAACTTTTGTTTGCCTTGATGAATCAGTATACCTATGGGATAGTTTTCTTATACCTACATTTCCAATTGATAATCCTGTTGAAGTTCCTTCGTCAACACTTATTTGAGTCTTATCCCAAAGGTTATAATCTGTGTTGAGTATTTCCAAACACAACGTGTAATCAGTATTTGCAGGTAGTCTGTAAAAATTAATTCCCATCTTATACTTATATTTATTTTGGCGATTTTTAATTATATACATGTAAATAACTATGTGATTATAATCGTGAAAGTTGCCTTTGTTTGGTGGTAAGTCATCTATCTTATTTAAAAGAAAACTACCTCCACCATCTATTTCATCAGTCCATTGAGACCCACTTGACATGAGATAACTAAACTCATCTTTATAATGGCTTGGTTGAACTGCAGTACGATGAACTAGTTTGTCGGTGTAATCTTTGGTTACCGCATCACTATTTTGGAGTGGTTTACCAATATTTATTATTTTATTACCACCACCATTTAGTTCTCCAGTCATAGCAACGCTACCATCTTTTTTCAAATAATCACTTAAATCTGGACTTCCAGCATTATCATCAACATACTTTTTGGTTGCAGCATCTGTGTTTGACACTGGAGTTGCGAGACCAACTATTTTATTATTACCAAGATTAAGGTCCCCAGTCATAGTGACGGTACCATCTTTTTCCAAGTAATCACTTAAATCTGGGGCAGCTGTGTTATCATCCACATACTTTTTGGTAGCGGCGTCTGTGTTTGACACTGGAGTTGCGAGACCAACTATTTTTTTGTTTCCAAGATTTAAATTACTAGTCATTGACACACTTCCGTCCTTTTTTATAAAAGAACTAGTATCAGGTATTGAGACATCTACATACTTTTTGGTTGCGCCGTCTGTGTCATTTGTTGGTTGTTTTAAATGAATTATACCTTTATTATCCATGTTTAGATTATTAGTCATTTTATTTGTTCCAGCAACGTGGAGATACTTCAAATCTGTGAAAGCTAATGGTGTTGGTTGTTTGGGACCCGCTGGAGCTGGCAGATTTAATATTTGATTGTTGTCCATATCTAGATTTCCAGTCATATTATTTGTTCCATCTAGATTTAGAAATTTATTATCAGTGTATGATTTTGTGGATGCTTCATCTACATCAGATGGTGTCTTAAGGTTTAGTAAACGGTATGTATCTTTCATATCAATGTCTGAATCAACTGTTAGTCTTGATGTTGAGGGTGAACCACTGGAATTATCATCGACATATTTTTTTGTAACAGCATCAGTATTAGCACTAGGTGCACCAACATTTCTTAGTTTTTTATTTATCATATCATAATCCCCACTTGAAGTGAGATTAAATCCAACTCCTGGAGCATCCTGAATTCCCCTAGCAAAGGAATGATCAAAAGATTGTTCGTTAAATATACCCATTCTAATTATTGGTTAGATTACCATAAAAGTTTCTTGCAATACGTTTTTTTGGTTTATCAACATATAGAAATGAAAATGGTTTTTTAGTTGCTGATTTAAAAGCATTTTTGTCAACATTCAACTCTTTTGATATCATATTGGTGTACCTTGTTGGAAACTCATATAGACAAAAATGAGAACAATTTGTACGAATATCTTCTGGCGTTCTATAAAAAGTCTGACTTAAATAAATCACTGAGCAATTCTTATGTCGTCCTTTCAAGAAATAATCTATCAGTTGTTTCTGGTTTTTATCACAAACGTAACCATCAAATATCACAAGTTTTTGATTGTCTTCATAATTAAGATCTGTCACTGGGATTATTTCATTATTACTCACATGAAGTATTTCATATCCAATTTTACTACTCAACTCCCTCATTTTCTGAATTAGCTTTTGATACTTATCCTGTTTTAGATTACGCGCGTAAAGATAAATCTCATCATAATACAGTAGTGGTTTAATTAACATGTGGTACAACAGATTAGTCTTACCACTTCCACTGTTTCCACAGATTAACATTCGAAATGTATCTTAAGGCATGTAAGAATATAACTGTTTATATTTTTTATCTGGGTTGGCACTACTATCATAGTTTGGTATTTCCATTTTATCTAATATGTACATTAAATAAAATGGATATTGAAGAATACAAAAAACTTGCAAGAAATAAAATTGAAGCTGATGCTTTGACTCAACAGGTGAGAGATGTAATAAAAATAACAAAATGGCAAAAACAAGATGCTCGGGAAGGTTTTAAAGAAACATTTAAACCACTTATTAAATCTCAAGAGAGTATTAAAAAAAGTATTGATGATCAACAAGATGCAACTATAGCACGACTTAAAAAAAATCAACTTGCTCTTACAAGAGGATTACAAAGAAACAGACTTGCATTAACATCAGGATTGGAAAAAATTAATGAAACTAATTTAAGATTGGCTGACATGGGAGAATTACCAGGTTTGGAAGAACTATCAACATCGGAAAAATCTCCTACACGTTATAACATTGAAAAAAATCTTGACAATGTGGATTTAGGAGTATTGAGTAATATGGGCTATCGAAGACCAAATGATTTTTTTGATACTAACCCTGAAAGACTTAGAGAAATACGCGATGAAGTAAAAAATGATGTAAAAACATTTACAGGACAAATAGCTGGTTTGAAGAGAAAGAAACAAAAAACAGAAGGTGAAAAGTACGAAATAGAAAACATTCAATTGCAAAAAGATTTACTACATAAATACAAAAACATTCTTGAACTTTATTTAGGTTCGCTTGAGTATAAAATAGGAGAAGGAATGATTTACTTTAACAACCCACATCAATTCCTAGACAGACTTGAATTACTCGGTGGTTCAATTCTTGCTGGGAATAATGGTGTAATACCTGAGTTTTCTCAAATAGCACATCTTCTCAATCAAATGAAAGTGATCTCAAAAAAACAGCTTAACGATTTACTAAAAAATTATATACCAATTATATAAAAATGGAAGAACGAGCTATCCACATTTCCTCAATAAACAGGGAAAAAAGAGGAACAAGCAGACCTGGTGATTTTACTATTAAGTTTAATCCATCTCTGAAACTTGACCCTGATATGAAACACGAACTTGCTCTTGATCGGCTGTCCATGACTTACTCTTGGTACAACATTAGAAGTGATTATGGAAACAATAAAATCAAATACACCCACGATGGATCCACCTGGCAAACAATTACTTTTACAGATGGAATGTATTCCTACTCAGATATTAATGACTACATTCATCAATATATGACACAAAAAAACCATCACTCAACAGATTCAAGTGGGAAAAAAACTTATTCAATTAATCTAACTTTTATACTATCCACCTATCGAGTTTTAATTTCAGTTAGTAATAACTCTCAACTTGATCTGAGAGGAACAGAATTTGGAGACCTAATTGGATTTGAAAAGAAACTTATTACAAAAACAGAGTATGGAACAAAACTACCAAATATCACAAATTCGATTGATGTGTTGAATATCAACACAAGCGCAATAACTGATAGCATTGTAAATGGAATAAATACAAATACCATTGCTGTGATACCAACAGACAATCTCACAAGGTCTTATCCATTTACGTTTGAGCCTAAAAGACCATTGTATTGCCCTGTATCTTCATTTCACATTGATGAAATGAGAATCTATGTGACAGACTCACTTGGAAGACCAGTAAATTTTAACGGTATAGATTGGTTTATGACTTTGATACTCCATTCAATGTAAATAGGGGAACCTACGGTTCCCCCTATGACCCCCTCCCTTGGCTACGCTAATTATAATGAAATATCCCTCCCTTGGCTACGCTAATAATCATTTTGTATAACTATCAAATTAAAATGATGAGACAATCAGAGTTTAAAATGAAACTTAACCCTGAATTGGGTAGATATACAAGACAACATATTTATGGAGAAGGAATGATGGATGTTTTTAAATCAGTTGGTAAAAAAATATTTGGAAAGACAATGAAAAAAGCTGCTAAAAAGGGTGCTGAAAAAGCGGTAACAGCAGCTGCAACAAAAACTGGTGAACATGTTGGCAAAAAGGCTGGTGATAAGATAGTGCAAATGTTATCCAAAAGTAATAATAAACCAAAAGTTACTTTTAATAAAAATGTTGAAACAATTCCAAATAAAACAATGACTCAACAAGAGTTAAATCAAAGATTGAATAACCTTCTTAGTGGAGGTTCAACACGTAAGAGAAAATTATATAATTATTAAAATAAAATGAAGTCTTTTAGAAATCCAAAATATTTAGATAGATATGAGGATGTTGTTTTTGACCTGGAACAGACTCTAGATGCAGCCCCAGCAAATAACGCTCACCAAACTAAATCAGGTCTTAGATTTGTTGCTGATAATACAGGAGAAACTACTCCTTTTGATTGGTATAACGCGCGATTATCTATGGATTTTAAAGTAAATAAGCTGGCAGATGGAGGAAATATTGCGGTTGCTGACCATAACGGAATTGTAAATGGTAGTAACTCCTTTATAGAAAATTAAGTATCCTGGCAAATGGTCGAGAAGTTTATAGTTGTAATTATGCAAATCATGTTGTAAATATTAAAAATTTGCTTGAGTATAATCCTTCATAAGCTCAGAGTGTTGCTACAAACGAATTTTATTTTCTTGATACATCAACAGCTGCAGAGGAAAAACCTGCTCAAGCAACTTATAATAAAGGTTTTCATGCATGAAAATTACTATTAGGTGCATCGGCCACAGTAAACTGTGAAATTCCTCTTAATAGATATTCTTTCTTTGAAGCATTGGAAGACAAATTACTTCCAAATACAAAAATTGAGCTAAATATCGAAATTGAAAAAGATGCAAATTTAATTTTTCAAGGTGCTGATGATTGTAGAGTTATTATAACAAGACTACAACTTTTTATTCCAAAACTTACGTTTAATTCAGAAGGACAAAAGTTGTACATGGAAAATTATCTTAAACCTTACAAATGGTCATATTTGAATGAAGTAGTTGAAAGGTCAAATGATACGCAGCAACAGACAGGACATTTTAGAATTACAAATGCTATTTCAAAGCCAAGGCATGTATTTATTTTTGGAATTGATACAGCAAGAATTGATGCACAAACAGAAAATCCATTTTTATACGACACTTTTAATCTGCCAAATAATGCTAATATATCAAGATGTTACCTGGAAGTTGCAAATGGAAATGAATACCCAGATATTCACTTTAAACCTTCCACAGATTTGTCAAGAGTTTTTAGAGATGTAATGTCATATGTTTATGCAAATAATGATTATCAAGGTGGAACATTACTTAATAGAAGTAATTTTAAATCTTTATTTCCTTTTGTTTATTTTGACCTGACAAAGCAAAAAATGGACATCAAAGATGGTGTTACAAAATTAGCATTTCATTACGAATTATCTGCTAATCCAGACGCTGATTATAATATTTACGCATTAGTCTTACATGAAAGAGTAGCAGAAATATCACAACAAGATGGAAAACTATTGCTTCGTGCATAGACCCCTCCCTTTATAAGAATGAGGTTAATTTTGCTACGCTACATATGATTTAATATAATTCTATAAATAAATGACTACTTACTTTGAATATGGTGTAACACTTACAGATGGACAAAAGTCAATATTGGCTTCTGCAATATTAAATAAATCACCACTAACTCTTCGGTTAAAACATTCACATCTTCGAGGTTCTGATGAGTTAATGTTGACAAAAAGACAAATTTCTAAAATAAAAAAATCTATTGCAAATGGTACAGGATCAGATATAAAAATAAGTAAAACTCAGATTAGAAAATCTGTAAAACATGGTGGAAACTTATTTTCTTCACTCGCATCTCTTGGAGCAAAAGAACTACCATATGCAATAAAAGGAATTTCAAAAGCTGTTCCTGCATTGGCAACTGGTGCTGCTACTGCACTTGGAGAACTTGGAATAAATAAAATATTTGGAAAAGGAATCACAATTCCCCCCCAGTTTTTCCCAATGTTACCACCTCTTGTAAGAGAATTTACCAAATCACAAATAAATCAAATTAACAGAGCTTATCAATCAGGTGGTCGATTGGTTATAAAACCAACTCGTAGACAGATAGAAGGAGGATTTCTTGGAACTCTTGCATCTATTGGAATTCCAATGGCAATTAGTTTAGTATCTAAGATGTTTGGATCTGGACTGCAGGTTGATAGACGTGGATCATCTAATACAGCAAATGTTTACGTTCCTCATCCTCCTCCTCCACCCACACATGGTGAAGGTTATCCTTACTGCCCACCACCCTTTTTTGGTACATGGAAAAACCCAATTGGAATGGGAGTTAAAAAAAAAAAGTCCAAAGGCAAAGGACTGCTTCTAGGAAAAAACAGCCCATTAAACTCAATTCCATTAATAGGGGCAATTTTGTAATTAAACCTCTATCCAACTTTGACCTCATGGATTGGGTAAAAAGACTTGGTATTAAACATTTTAGAGGAATATATAGTCGCGATGGACTACCAAATAGGATAAGAAAAGAATGTGGAATAATCAATCTTGATGATATACTCAAGGTCCTGGAACACACTGGGTTTGTTACAGATCAAATATAGATTCAGTGGTTGAGTACTTAGATCCATTTGGTTTAATGATGCCAAATGAAGCATTAAAGTATTTTCATACTTCTGGAAAACGAATAGTTTACTGAATGGATGAAATACAAAATCGCAATACTGTTCTCTGTGGTTATTGGTGTTTATACTATCTGTTTGAGCGACAAAAAGGTAATAGTATTCTAGACGTAATACATAACCCACATTTCGATAATGACAACAGCGGTTTTATAAAAGAGTATTTTGGAGGATAAAAATAATATTTAATAAATATTATTTTTTACTCATCTGGTAAATTCTTTAGCTGTTTAACACTCTCAACTTTTACACTTTAATCTTTAACACTATCAACTATTTCATCAAATTTCGAATAAATATTAATAAGTCGAAAAAGTTTCTTCTTTTTATCACTATTTATTTTCAACCAAGAATAGTCCTCATCTCTGATTTTTCCCCACATCTCACATTCACCAGCCATTAGTATTCTAGAAAGATCATCATTTTTCTTTCTAAGAGTTTCAAACTCATTATTTATTTGTGTTCGTACATCTTTCTCAAAATCTTTTAGTGTTTTAACATCCATCTTTTTTTCTATCTCAGAAAAGAATTTGGCTTCCATTTATTATATAAATAGATAATTACCTTTTACAACTTTATTAAGTTTACTTGATTTATCACTTATTTCCATCAGCAACTCAAATACTTTTATAAATCTAGTGTCATTTTCCAATCTAGAATGCTCAGCATATTCATAACTCTTGTTTAAATTATTGTATATCTTTTGAAGTTCACTTTTTAAAAAATTAGATCTAGTAGACATATTTATCTAAACATTATACTAAATGACAGAATCATATTGTATTGTAGATAAAAGAGTAACTCCTTGCACAGAGCCAAGTGGTTACCAAAAAGATAAAAGAGGTAGAACTCAATTCTTTTGTAGATGTGCAGTTTGTGGAAATAAAAAAGTTAGATATGTGAAAACTGGAACAGCTTCTCAAACTGGAAGTGGAAAAAAGAGAAAACGAAAGTCAAAAAACTAATCAGCCCGTCTGAAGGGGCGGGCGTCTTTGATACTGTTGTTGGTACAGCAGTTGATGGATTTGTTCATTACGGTTTACCTTGGATGGGTAAGAAAGCAGTTGAAATGGGACGATATGGAGCAAGCGAATTAATGAGAAATAAAAATCTTCAGAAGAAAGCTGTAAATTATGGGATTAACAAACTCACTCCATTTATTCAAGATTCTGTTGGAACAGCAATGGACCAGTTATCAACAAAAGTGAGACCAAAAAATAAATGTAAAACTGATAGACCAGAATTGGATGGTAGCGGCGTAGATATTCACAAGCAAATTGGAAAATTACCAAAACCAAAAGGTGGATGGACATTACCAGGACATAAATATACAGGCCCTTATAATGATCTCGAAAACCAAGTAAGATACAATCCGGAAACTGGTGAAATATTAGAAATTTATGATCAACCAACTGGGCCAACCGATGCCGTGGCCATGCAGCATGATGTTGATTATAGTGTTTGTGGTGATGACCGAAAGTGTAAAAATAAAGCTGACAGAAAGATGGTAAAATCGTTGGATGCTATTCCTTGGAAAGAAAGACAATGGGGACATACTTTAGCTAGAACAATAATTAATACAAAACAAAAACTTGGAATGGGATCAAAAAACGTAAAGCGGTGTTGAGTAGTGATTGGTCTCAACAATTAGCCGACGAACTTCACAAACCAATCACAAGAAACTTTCAAAAGAGATCAGTGGTGTCAAACGGAATTGATGATATCTGGGCTGCTGATTTAGTTGAAATGCAAAAGTTTAGTAAATGGAATAAAGGGATAAAGTATCTTCTAATGGTAATAGATGTGTTTAGCAAGTATGGTTGGATTAGGGGATTGAAAGATAAGAAAACTGAAACTGTTAGTAAAGCATTTGATGACATATTTAAGAGTAAACGTAAACCAAAGATGTTATGGACAGATAAAGGTTCTGAGTTTATCAGTAAACATTTCAAAGATTTTCTAAAAAGAAAGGGAATCAAGTTGTATCACACTGAAAACGAAGAAAAATCTAGTGTTGTTGAGCGATGGAATAAAACAATGAAAAACAGAATGTGGAAGATGTTTACTGTGAATAACAACACTGTTTACTGGGATAAGATAGATAAACTAGTTGATGATTACAATAATGCGAGACACTCTAGCATTAAAATAACTCCTGTTGAAGCGAGTAAAAAGAAAAATGAAAGTAAAGTTTGGTCTAATTTATACGGTGATTCTATTTACTTAAAACCTGGTAAACCAAAGTTTTCTATTGGAGATAAAGTTAGAATTTCAAAATATAAGAGAAAGGTATTTGATAAAGGTTACACACCAAACTGGACAGAGGAGATATTTGTAATTGATAAAGTTCTTCCAACAAAACCTGTTACGTATAGTATCGTTGATTTGACAGGAGAAGAGATTAAGGGTTCTTTCTATGGACAAGAATTACAGAAAGCAAAACAGCAAACATTTAGAATAGAAAAAATTATCAGAAGGGATAATAAAAAGAAAATGGCATTAGTAAAATGGAGCGGATATCCTGATAAATTTAACTCATGGGTGAGCTCTAAGGATTTGGTTGATTTTTAATACAAATAATGTATTAAAAATAAATCCTATAATTACTCAGTTTCTTCTTTATCAGAGATAACTAAGTCTTCAACTACTTGCTCACTAACCTCTTCCTCTTCCTCTTCCTCTTCAACTGTTAGTAAAGACTCCCTAGGTTTTAATGATTTGACAAAGCACTCATACTTTTATTTGTAAAGATGTTAGAGTCTTACTAATAAATATTCCTTGAATAATCAAAGCCATTTTAACATTACAATACTGGTCAATATATCTAAAAGGATTTAAATCTTGCTTTCCCTTTGTTTTAAATAGTGAAAGAATTTTCTTAGATTTTTCTGAGTAAATCAGTTTTGCGTAAAGAACTGGTGCGGACGAGGGGTATATTCTTGTTTTCTTCTTTCCTTTCTTATCTGTATATTCTTCCTGTTTGTAATAAAATGGTGAAGATAGAGTTGATGCTAGATCTGCAGCGTATTCATTCTCTAGATGTTGCTGAGAGATATCTATCACATTGTTAATAGCGTCAAAAAATGCTTTTTCTTTAGTACTCGGCTCACTATCTTTAGCCCAAAGACATACTGGAATACTATAACCTACTAATTAACTTGTTTGTTTCTTGGTTCTTCTTCTCACTCACGCCAAAAGAGAAAAGAAGTGGAGTTTCAATTACCAAAGCTCCTTTCTTTCCATTTGGATATTTGACTTCAATTGGGATACGTTTGTATTTGATCTTGCTATCTTTCACTTTGTACTCTTTAGCTTCCTTAAAAACAATATTCTCTGGGGTTAAATGATCGTAACTGGATAACTGCATTTTTATTATATAATTTATTTCTTTAAATCATTAACATTCATTAAATCACTATACCACTCATCTGTTTTTGCAATTGGTATAGGAATGTTTAAAAACTCATCATCATCTTCCGCAGCACATTTACCTAAAGATAAATAACTATTTCCTTTTTCATCCCTACCTCCACCGTAAAAAGTGTATCCATATACTATGCATTTAAGAATAGTTTCTAAACGTTCTAAACTAATATTTTTGCCTTCAATATAATTTTCTAAATATCTACAAAAAATTTGAGCTACATAATAATAAAAAGTACGTATTTCTTCAAACTCCTCACAATCCCATCATCCATTATTTTATAACTATTTTGACAAATTGATAAAAGTCTACTAAAACCTTTTAAGATTTTTTCTCTTTTTAAATTATTAGTTCCTTTTGCCTCCTTAATCTGTTTAGATAAACTTTAATTACAGTAGTAATTCATTTTAATTATAAATAATATAAATCTTTAAACCTATTAAATTTTTCACCAAAGAAGATTAACTGACCAGAAATTACTCGATTCAGGATTAGTATAAGTTAACTCTCCCTGTTTATTTTCAATCTTTTTAGCTCGAGCAAGATACCTCTCTTTTCACTCTTTGTCTTTATGAATAAGATAGTCTGGATATTGTGAAGACCCAAAATGAATTTTCTTTCCACTTGGAAGTGTTGCCATATACTTGTTATTTTTACGTGTTGAATAATCAAACGATTCAGCACCAAGTTTTTTAGCCTTTTTGGTTAGTTTTTTAAACTCCTTACCTGTAACAACATATTTATCATCTGATGAAGAAGAATCTTTAGGCTCATATGTTGGGTCTTCATCATGGTTATATCCATCATCAGCTATAAAATCTATGTCTTCTTTTGTAGGAATATCGTTTTGGAAGTCATTTTATTATTTGATTAGATAATTACTAATCTTATTAAATATTTTATCCTCATATATTTTTGTATGTTTATATCTATCTTTATAATTATTAAGTTTTCTATCAACTCTTGAAATTCCTTCATAACTCAAATTATAATCAATCTTATTATTTGGTCTTCCTTCAAACTTAGAAAAAACAACAAAAGTAATCAAACTATGATAAATATTTGGATCTAAAAGTTGTAGTTTTTTCTTTCTATCTGTTTGTTGATTAACTACTTTTTTTTCCACTTTTCTACTTCTGAAAGAGTTATTGGTTCTATATATAAATCAACTAAGTTAATTTTTTTTACATCATTATATATAAGTTGTTTTAAGTTATATTCATTTTTTAATATATATCTAAATGGTTTTTTTATTCTTTTAAAATCTTCATGTACATATAATAATTCAGGAAGAATAATACCATCTTCAAAATCAATTCCAAATTTATTAAAATTTTCTTTTTCATATAATATTCTTTTTTTAGGATAAAGTTCATCATCTTCAAAAGTAATTCCGTATCTATAATATCTATTTAGTAACTTAAAGTAGTCAATATCGTATAATATATCACCTTCTGATTCATCAATATAAGAATCATAGTATTCGTATACCAAAAACATAATTTTTTGATAAGGATGATTTCTTGCTAAATTATTAATTAATTTTAAATCAAAAAGTTTGATTTCCCAGTCTGAATTTATAATAAGTTCATTCATTTTAGCGCAAAATAAAATCTTTTTTTTTTATTTAATAACTTATTTCTTTAAATTGACTTAAAAATTTAAAGAAATAACTAATAAATGGCTTTTAAAAATTGGAGTATTATCTATCCATCAAAAAAAGTCTATAATGAACTAAAAACTATTGAAAATAATATCAAACCTTTTTATAAAAGTTTACCTAAAATTTTTTCTCATAATTACACCCGTTCTTTTTTTAGAACTATTGAAAGACTTAATAAAATAGAAGAAAGTGTAAATAAATTCAAAAAAACCAAAATAATAGATGAAGATGGTACTTTTCATGAAAATTTTCCAGCAATATCTTCCTTCCTTTACGAAGCATATTACTTTGAAGAATCAGTTAAAAAATCCTCTGATAAAAAATTTATAAATATAGCACAAAAATTATATAATAAGTTAGACTTTTACAAATCTATTGATATATTTAGTACATTATTAATCTTATAACAAATATGTTAGAAGATTAAAAGATTATTAATCACTTTCACTTTCACTTTCACTTTCTGAAAATTCGATATTTAATTTATTATAAAATTTACAAAACAACTCATAAAAATCTTTATAACCTAGAAAATCTTCAGGATGAATCGACCATTAACAAATTCTTCATCTTCTTCAAAATCAAATTTCATTCTTTCAAACAAAAAGTCTATATTTTCAACATCACACTCTTTAAAAATAAAACAACTAGTATCTTTAAGATAACCAAGTTCTTGGGCTTTCAAAAATTTTCTTATAAAAAACTTAATTTTATCAGAATAACTAGAAACAAAAAGTTCACTACAATCTAAAAGATAAATTATTATAAAATCTTCTAATTTCTTATTAATCCCTCTTATAAAAAGATATTCATTTTTATAATCCCTTGCATAATCTGGGATTTTAGATTTACTTAGGATTGAGTTAGAATCCCGGACAGATTGAGGTAGGATACCCATTTTACTAACTACTTTAAGTGGTTTTGAACTATATTCTCGTTGTGCCCCTGTCGAGAGCAAGAGCTGGCGCGTACTTATTTAATGGCCGTGTAATGGTAAACCTCGTTCGAAATGAAGGCCGTTCCGTCTGACAAAAGCGTATCAGTCCGTGTCCTCAGGAGTTTAATCAATACAAACTGCTTTATTTCTAAGGATGAAATACAGAGGAACAAGACAAAGGAACTGTACCAACTGCAGCGCTGAAATCGCGTGTTTTTGAAGGTGTATATTTCAGCTCTGAGAAATTAGAGTTGTATTCCTGCTATTTCATTTTAGATTTCTATACCTGTAATGTACAAAAACGCTCGTCATTTGTTTTGATATGAGTGAATCATGATCAACGATTTGTTTCAGAGAAAGATAACTGCAAGGCCCTTTATACAAGCAGCACGTGACTCAAATTAAGGACCTCTGTATAAATTGTCACCCTGCTGATCTCTGCTCCGAATTGAATTACGTCCTCTCTCAGTCAGTATGTAGAGAATAATACTGGTCTGTTCTTCTCTTAAGATTCTAAAGTTTTAGAAAAAGTAGCAAGTCTCAACGATGGCGATTAACCCTTCCTTCAGAATGTACCCTCAGCATTTTCCAAGTTAATAATAACCTGTTTAATATTAGAAAGTCAATTTGTTTGCTTTGGGATTTAGGAAACTCGTTTTGAATTTTCCATCGCAGAACGGGATACAATTGGGTGATCGTGACTCTTGACTTTATTTAAGGTGTTTCTAAAGAGAGCCTTTTACAATTCGCCCCAAAACTAAAAAGTATTCTGCAATCCCTCGAGCTCCACTCAGTTGAAATATTTTGCAGGTCAACCGAGCGGGCACTGGGACCATTCGAAAGATAGCTCAGTTTTCAGGAGTGTTCCGTCTTTTTTCACTTGCTTTGAAGGTAAGTCGACCCGTAGTGTTCATTAAAGTCCTAAAGAAAACTAATATGAAAGATACTCAGGGCCTTGGTTAACATGTGCAGACTGTCTAGCAAACAATTTTAGCTGATTAATCACTATATTCTTGCTTCCTGATCTACTATTTGTGCATGTGATAGTGAACAAGTGACACGAAGGCCGCGTCGGCTGTGAAAAACTTAAGCTTAATATTACTTTAGCTTTACTTTACTTCACTTTGGTGAAATCAAATGATCTTTAAATATACATTTATATGCTAGGAGCATTTGCTCTTTTACTAATATAAAGCGTATCATGTATTACTTCTACAGAATAAACACAATTCAATATTTATTGTAATTGTGTTGACTTTGAACACGCATAAAGGCCTGTTTACATGGAGATGGGGGACCCCAGATAGGTCAGGTATAAACATGTGGCAGGTCACCCCACCTATAATGTCAACATGATCAAATTAAAATGAGATACAGGGACGGATCCAGGATTTTTTTTAGGAGGGGGTGCACTCCTCTCTTGCTCTACTTCATCACCAATAAACCACATAGTTTTTTTTTTTTGCAGAATACCAGTTGTATTAGAAAACCGCAGGTCATCTCAGGGGCGGGGGGGGGTGCGCACCCCCTGCACCCTCCCCCTAGATCCGCCCCTGAGATATTACCGGTATATAGCCAGGTTGGTTACCCCAGCTATTTAAAGCGGGTAACCTTGCCTACCTAGGGTCCCCAGACTTCCATGTAAACAGGTCCTATATAAGTCATATCAAGCTAAGCTTGAGTTTATTTGTTACTGGTTTGTGCAAACCAGCTGGTCACCATCTCCATCATGGTACTGTGTGAAATTGAATTCGGTGAAAGGATTTATCATTGTGACCAGAATCAACATGAGAGAGGTCCGGTATAGCAGAAGTCAATTTTTTTACAATAATAATAAAATAATCATATTGTTGCTTTTAGGCATCTAAGATTAGAAAAAAAGGATTATAAAGTGCTTATTACTGCTTACAATTCAAGTTTTAGCTTGTGCTTCAGCTTGTGCTAGCAAAAAATATGAATTGCTCATGCATGTGCTAACAAATGCTCACAAAGGCCATTTTGATTATTTTTTTGTTATTAATTTATTTAGCTTTTTATGTGAAAAGACTTTAAGTTCGTGATATTTTATCAGTTTTATAGACCAGCTCCCACTGGAGACTAAAGATGCCACTTTGTGATAACCGAAGATTATAATATGCTGTGTTCATACTGGCCCATGAAAGTAAGTTAATCTCCCTGTTGACCTCTGTTATTAATGTGTGGGTATAGATACATCTCTGAGCTAGAACGATCTGATCCAGCTTTCTACAGTCCAGTCCAGTACTGGTTTGTTCAATATCCCTGTAAACTCTCATCATGTGCCAGCTACATGTCAGGTTGTTGATTTCTTCTTGACAAGTTCAGTCATAAAACTTCCACCAACTGACTGACATGTTTACAAACACTATAGTACAGCATACAACCAGTGTTAATGTTCCTCTTCTTTCTAATAAAATGCCTTATGCCAAGTGTGTTTTATTCACATTTCTTGACTTAAATGTGCCTGATCTTCAGTTTGATGTTTATTCAATTCAATTAAAATTAAAAGAGCTTTTAGCAAGGATAGCTCGGTATTTCGTACATGTAGGTTGATGTGCTCTTTTTTACTTTATTATTTCAGACTTTTATGTCAGTCAATCAATATACATCATTATGATCATGTACCTGTAAAGTCTGCAGAAACCTTTAAAAGTCCAGGTAATTCAGATAAATGTTCCAATGGTTGTCTACTTACAAGACGTTTTAATGAATATATCTGTTGTAGTTAATTTTTTATCTCAGGTAATTTCTGTTTTTGTTTTGTTTTGGGGTATGGTAATGTATGCTTTTGAGGTTGAAACAAAGGAATGATAAAAATTACCTAAGATAAAAAATTAACTACAACATGTCGATCCACTTAGAAATACATTATATTCCCTAAAAGAAAAAGTTGAGAGGAATTTCCCCTTTGTTGACCTTTTTATTAATTCTTACAACCTTTTCTCTTTATGATGGGTAGATATTGTGAGGAGAAAACTGATGTTTGTTACTCTTGCACAGGACTGAAAAGGTTAAATAACAATAATAATAATATAATTCTACTTAATTCCTTCCTCCTATATTTGAACAGCTTGAGAAAAATGTTCACATTTGTTTGATGTGTGTGCACGTTTTCCTTTTTAATTACCCACTTTCTAGGGACACTGAGACTCAATGGCGCAGCATCAAGAACGTAAAAGAAAAGAAAGTCCTTCTTGTCAGACAGGAAAAGATCATGCCCCTCCTCCTCTTAGTATCGAAGTACCTAAAATGAAAAATCTTTCAAAAAAGTCAAAACCTTGGAGTGATGTTCAGCTTCCAGTCGACATTCTTCTGTTGACAGTGGAGGATTGCGAGTTCTTGGCGTGCTATGCATACTTAAATAATCCCATTAAAAGCTACCACAATAACCTTGGATATGTGTACTTTGGTACCATGGGTGAAAGTGGAGAGGATGCACTGAAAGTTGCTCTGATGAGATGTTGTAAAGGTTCTTCAGGTCCAGGTGATTCTTTAGTCACTGTCAAGAATGCAGTTGTTCAGTTGAGACCCAAGGCTGTTTTTACTGTTGGCTACTGCAGGGGATTGAACCCCCAAGACACCAAGCTTGGTGATGTAGCGGTATCCTCTAAGCTTACAACTGAAGAATTCTCAACCCCAGTGAGAAAGAATATTGGCAACCTTATCTTGTTTTCAACTGAAGGATGGGATCCACCAACAACAGCTGAAGAAGAAGTAAAAGTACATTCTGACAGTGAAATATTCAGTGGCATAAATGACCCAGTCAATGCCAAAAAACGCCGTATGAATGCAGCTGAAAAGGAAGGGGAAGGTAACATTGTCTGTTATCTCATTAAATATTATTAATTATTAATCTATCCATGCACAACTGTTTGTTTAACATATTTTCCACCACGTACTACAGGTCTTCATTAGTTGTTAGTGTCAAAGACCTGCAATATTCAGTCAAAACATCATGACCAAGATCTAAGTGACAGTGGTTAGACAATAGGCCACTTGCACTAAGAGGTCACGTGACCAATGCTTCCTTTAAACAATGAGTTGGAATCTTGCTGATGCCAAAAATTGTTAGAGCACACAAAAATTATCTTACACCCGAAATTTGAGAGGAAACGCATTTAAGGGAGATATTTTGTGGCACTTTGATTCTTCAGCAAAGTAGTATGATTTGTATCGGCCGCCATGTTGGAGGGCATGCTCTTGCATGCCTTGTAGAAATTAAGTATACTTTAAGTATACTTCAAGTATACTTTATATGTACTTCTCAGAAAAAAAGTACATTTGAAGTATACCTCGTTTGTACTTCCAGAAAAAAAGTATAAATGAAGTATATTTGGCAAATGTACTTCATTTATACTTCAAATACTTAAGTATACTTTAAGTATACTTCTTCAAACTTCAGTGCTTGTGAAAAATAGTTTCGCAAAGAAAAGTGTACTTTAAGTATACTTTGAAACTGAAAGACACATTCTGATCTGAGGATGCTTGGTTTGTCCGGATCTTGAAATCACTACAAGACAAAAGTATACTTAAAGTATGCTTTAAGTATAATTTAACTTCAAAATACTATTCAGATCAAATCAGTTTTCTTCTATTAAGGACACAGTTGAGATCATGTAAAGATTTCTTCACAGTGGTGAAGTATATAACAGGTTTCTAGATACACAGGGCACACATTAGCTGTTCAGTCGACTTCCTTCGTAAGAAGATCATCGGCCGATCTGGGCGAAATGGCAAAGTCGCACAGTTTCATTCTGGTCATTTCTTTAACGTCTTTCGTGGAATTTTTGCATTTGGCAGTAAAAGATACTGGATGTAATTAAGGACCGCGTCATTTTACCTCCTTTTTTACGAGGACCTTAAGAAATAGAACGAGAACTCGAAGCAAAACCATCGCTCCTCGTCGGACATCTTTACGTTTAAGGAAAGAAATGTATATATGAAGGTGTTGAATTACCGCTGACTTCCAGTACCGTCGGAACATATACGGGATCTTGTGGATTTCCTAATACGGTCATGTATGAATCATTTACAGCATACCTAACTTCCATATATGGTTTTGGCGGGCGATACAGATTCGAAGGAACATTCGTTGATCTTTGCCGAGAGTGTCTTCAAGATATTTATACGCTCGGAATATTGCATTGCCTTTAATTTATCTTCACAATTCGAGTACAATATGAGTGGAACTTGAAAAGAAAACAAAAGAAGTACACCATGACTGAATTTTGACGATACAAGTAAGTTTTGGGGTGAAAAATGTATCGGTTCCCGTCGTTTCAATATATATCGATTTTTCTTTGCAAGTCATTTGCAAATGACACACGAGTTAAGCCTTAAGGTTTACAAAGTGAAAGCTTGTTTACTTCGCCTAAAGTGCAGTGTAAATTCAAAATACAAAACCCAAGTCTTGTTTTCGTTAGATCGCATTTCGTTCCAGTTTTTGTACGTAATAGGTAGACATATTTCTTTAATAAGGTAATGGCACAATTTACTTTGTAGCCAAAGAGTACAGAAGAATATTGTGTGATGGTTCTAAGCAGTAATTATTAAGTACAAGTGAGCTAAAGAAAGTTCAGAAAGAAACCTGTTAATATACATGCACCTTCCTTGAAATGATCTCATTGTCAATGAAAATTTTACTAAAATCAAGAAGAATAATATATTATGGTAATCAAATGCAGTGAGTTCCTTTGATAGGAATAGAAAATGTATATTTTTATGTTGTGGAAACCTATTCCAACAAGATTTGCTATATATTTTTTTTGTAATTTCTTAGTACATTTGTATTGCTTTAAGTTAAGGACAGTTTTTTTTGTTATATCAATAAATGATTTTACAATATAATTGATCCAAGTCTGATGTGTCTCAGTGATTGATGAACATATTGCATAGAGTATACTTTAAGTATATTTTAAGTATACTTGAAGTATACTTCCCATTAAGTATACTTCAAGTATACTTTCAGTTAAGTATACTTTAAGTATACTTTTTAGGTGTCGAAAAGTTGTGTACTTAAAGTATACTTCTGGTAAGTATACTTAAAGTATACTTTAAGTACAAATGAAGTATACTTTTTAAAGTGTTTATCACCTATATAAAGTATACTTTAAATGTACTGAATTTCTACAAGGGAATTGCCCTCCAACATGGCGGCCAAAACTACTTTTTGCTTATATCTTGTTCAACGTTTCATAGTTATGCTCAAATGTGCTGTAAACGTTATCACATCATCTTTTCAACATTTTCCTTGAAGTTTAAGTGCAAAATTTGTGTTCAGAGAGAGGTAATTCATAATTTTAAAAATCACATTTTGGTCACGTGACCATTTACGAACTTATTCATTTTAAGAAAATGGTGCGGGTTTGAAAAACCAAATCACCATTATTTTGCTTAAGATATGACCCACTAATCGTTCTCGGAAGGCAAAATCATATAACTTTCATTTTCATAAAAACGGTGTCACATGCCTCTTAGTGCAAATGGCCTATTAAATAAAACCCTTTATTTGAACACATTAACCACGATGTACAATATCTTTCATGACATGGACAATAATATTTTGTAGCCTATTTGTTCTATTGGTGTCTGGAAAACGCTAGCTCACATTATGTGTTCTGTTTTTTTCTTTATTTATTTTATTTATACATGTAGGACTGTTTGCTGCAGCCCAGGATATGAATATTGAATGGGTGATTGTTAAAGGGATATCTCATTTTTCCAATGATAGCAACACTCCTAATGAGTCCTGGAAGTCATTTGCTTGCATCATGGCAGCTTCTCTTGTGTCCAACCTGTTGAGTGATCCAGTTGTTTTTAAAAAATGGCCTCACTATGAAGGTATGTAACCTCCTTTTTCTGTTTGATTATTAATAGTGATTAATTTTCTGTTCAGATATATTTACCGGTATGTATTTTTAGAAAAAAGGCTGCAGTTTTAGTGAAAAGATTATAAAGTACATGGACTTAACCACAAACTTCTGGCCCCAGTTGTTCAAAAGGTGGATAGCGCTTTCCACTAGATAAATCACTATCCTGAGTGGATAAATATTAGGGGAGCCAATTGCACTATCCAGTGGATAGAGTCATTTATCCGGTGGATAGCACTATCCACCTTTTGAACAACTGGAGCCTGCTGACCTAATGTGCTTTAATTGTATTTATTGCCAGTCCCCCCTAATTTCCTGTGTGCGTTAACAGTACCGCCCAACAGTATGCTCAACATTTAATTTTTCCTGAGAATAGTCTTTGAAATTCCCTGACCCCAGTGCCTGAAAAGTGCTAGAAAATAAAAAAAAAGATGCACCATGTTATTGACTGACAAGAAAATAACAAAAATGGTTATATGGCCAAGTCTGCTTTTAGAGAACACAGCAGTTCAACTCTTTAATGTTCTCTTATTTATTTTGCAGACTTGTCAGCAAACAAGGCGTCCTCCGCTTTACCAGGTATGACCCTTTTGAGTAAAGTTACTAGGAATTCTAACAAACTGAAGTATTTATTTGTTAATACTGTTGTCAATATACAACCACTTCTTTTCATATTTGCACAGTCTGTATAGCAGTAACAAGTCTCTTATCCTAATTTTGTAGAGAAGTAATGGTCAGTATACTTCAAATCTCACACCTCTCTTCTGGCCCTTATGTTTTTAATAACTGAAGTGTGTTCTAGCTTTGATAATTACCTTAAACACAATTTAACCTCCTCCTCATGTCTCTAATCTAACCTTCTTCCCCACTCAAAGGAGTATATTACTCTAAAGTGTAGATCCAGAAAATGATTCTCCCCCATGGAAAGGATTTGGTCTTGGAAGAACCCACACCCGCCCCTCCTCTCCTTTGCAAATTCCAATTAGGATTCATACATGTACCTTTCTTTTTGTTTTATGGTCCTCGCTGATACTCCGTCCTTCCCCAGGATTTTCCAATCCCTTCCATGAGGGTATTAAAGATATTTTCTTGAGCTACACATTTGCAGACCACACCACTAACAAGGAACATTGCAACATTGAAGTCCTTGCATTGTCTTTTCACCCAAATTTTGCACTTTTCTTAATAGTTTGGTTGTACTAACATCCATTTCACCAGATAGCTAAGTTTTGCTTGACCTTCAAAATACCAAAACATCATTAATATATTATTTGTACCCTCATGTCTAAGTATAAGTGGTGAAAAGGCTGCTCTTTAGGGTGGAGTCTCCCACAATCCAGAGAAAGATCCCCTCCCTCAGACTCTAGGGTAGTAATTTCTATGTGATGCTTGCTAATGCTGCACAGTGCCTGTAAACAAAAATTGAAAAATTCTACTGCAAACTGACAAAGGTCTTTCAGGCTTTCATTATATTATTCATTGCTGAGAGAAAGCTACTCAAGGATCATAAAAATTAATCATCTCTTGACATCTCTGTAAATTCCCAGTCTTCAACACAACTGTCTTATGCATAGTAGTTCTTAACTGTGGGTCTTGTAAATTTCTTAGGTTATTTTGTTGTTAATAAGAATAACGTGTGCATAGATAATCAGTAGTGTTTTAAATCTTTCCCAGCATTTGTAAACGTTTGTCCACTCTTCAAAGAGTAGTTATTTAGTGAAACTGTGGACTCTCATTTTTTCTTATCTCAATTTTTTTCCATATTTGTTATGTGCCCCTGTCCTAGAGTTTTGTGTAACACGTTGTTTGATACTTAAAATTTTTTAATTTGTAAGGCAAAATCCTTGTTTTCAGATTCTGAATGCCTCGAAGAGTGCCAGAAGCAGTTGCGGTCTCTTTATCAAACCAAAACCAGAGTCAAAATCGTTCCTTGGAACCAAATAAACGCCGTTCACATTGATGAGATCTACACAGACTTGTCTTGGGTTATGGATCACAGGACACCCAAGGGAGTGACAAAAGAAGAACTTAACCACTACACTGAGATTTTTGTCCACAGAGAGCCTCATCCTGCACCAAAGCGAATTTTGGTGTATGGACAGCCAGGTAATTAGTAGGTAAACCGTCTGGAGAGTAAAAGTGTATTATAGCACCATCAAAGCAAACAAACTTGTGGCTCTTACAAGACTGTATAACACAAAAATAGAACAAGAACAAGAACACATTATTACCATTAGTGTCAGAGAAAATTGATGCACTAAAAGTTAAGGTTGAGGAGGTTCAGAGACGTGCCACCAGATGGATTTTAAGCTTGAAGCCAGGCCAGATGCCTGATGGGGAGAAACTGCTTCCCTTGAATATGCTGCCTCTTGCTTCCAATAGAGCAATGGAGGATCTCGTTTTCTTTTACACAGCCTTTTACGGCTACAATGATAGAGACGTTACTAATGATATTACATAACTTTTAACAATCATCCACGTACACTCTGTGGCCAGTCTGCAGGCTGTTATCATACTGTCCCGCCTGCAAGAGCTGCACTTTACAAGCTTCATATTAATATTAATCATCAGCGTATGGGGCGGGGGGGCTGGGGGGGCTGCACCTCCCCCCCCGTCGGAAAAAAAATAGTATTATTCGGGCAAAACTGACGTACCGTTCGGGCAAAGACACAGTAAAAAATATTTTATTATTTAATATCTTGATTTATTTGTTTTCATCCCGCATCTCGCCTAATCTTCTAACTGATCTCTGTACTACTTCACGGGATGGCTGTTATTACTCGGAGTTAGAACATTAGGGCCATTTATACGAGGAAAAATAAAACGCGTCTTACATAAGACGCGCCTTAAATAAGACGCGAACTGTACAATTTATACGAGCATGTCTTATCTAAGACGAGAACAGCTCGTATAAATGGTTCGCGTCTTATTTCTGTTGTTGACTAGTTTTCATGTGAATGTTGCCCTTAGCAACGGCAATCCAACGTGGCGCGCCAAAAATTAACGCATGCGTACTATGCGTTCGCGTCTTATGTACGCAAAGGTCATTTATAGGAAGTTTTCCTCGTCTTAGCTAAGACGCGTCTTATCTAAGAACAGGTGTTAAGGGCTGTTCTAAAATAAGACGCGTCTTAGCTAAGTCGCGTCTTATTTTAGACGAAATGTGCCGTTTATACGGAAAGTTCGCGTCTTATTTAAGACTCTATGTAAGACGCGTCTTATTTTTCCTCGTTAGTTCTGCCGAGGGACTGGGAGTGATAATCGAGACCGCGCTGGGACTGGAACTGCGTATGAGTTGGCGGCCATGTTGATTTATGTCAGTTCTCGAGTGCATGTGCGTGTAATCTGTAGTTCATGTATGACCCCATGAAATGTCCTGAGGCACCAGTGCCATGTCGGGCCTCTAGGCACAGAAGTAAGTGTAGTGGCTGTAGTAAGTGTAGTAGCTGTACTAGCTGTAGTAAGTGTAGTAGGTGTAGTAGGTGTAGTAGCTGTAGTAGGTGTACAACCTCGTCCACAGGGCTTTTCCCTTAAAAAATGGGTGGGGCGGGAAAAGGCCCTAGCATCGGCTGGTCACGTGTACATCCTAAATATTCCTGAGAAGCCAATTTATATGCAACCCGCTGGTTTTGCGCTGACAGAAGTCGAACGGAGCAACAATGGAAAATAATAACATCGCGAACTGTATGTCAATATTTTCGCGTCTGTGCGATTCAAAAGCTTAAGATCCATTTAATTGCGTATTATTCAAATGCTACAAGTTTATGAAAGGGCGTACCGGCTCTACGTTGTCACGTACAAAATATTTCAAATGCTTCAGAGTTGAGACAAGCTGTTATCGAGTAGTACTTCGACTGAAATTCATCGCGACTGTGGAATTACTATACGATCATCAAGCGGAAAGTGATTTTGTCCAATGTCAAACAAAAATGCGGGCCTTTGCCTCTAGGATCTGCAGTGAATTTAAACAAATTGAACGTAATTGAAATAGAATTGTTCATCAAAATGCTTTATGGAATCTGGTCTTCTAACCCGACCATTAAACAAACAAATCTCCGCGCCGGATGCAAGTCAGCCCTCCAGTCAGGAACGATGACAGGTCGCCGATCTGAAACATTTGAAGATCTCTTATATATTTTCTCTTCCGAGGATAAGTACAAAGGATTTTCCTTATATTAAAGGGAAGATTGACCGATCGATTGGAATCAACTACAGCTATGTCAATTTTAAATGGACCCAAGTCTTTCTTTGTTACCAGTCGTTTGATACCCTGGGTGCCAGAGACTATTCATGCGCGGTTTCCGGTTTCGGTCAAGTCTCGCAGAGGTCAATGAATTTTTTAAAAATACAGTCATACAAGATAAGTCTAAACCAACGCGTATCGCTATGATGATGGCTGAGAGTTAAGGTGAATGGAACTAGGTTGTGTATGGCGGTCTACTTCGCAAGAAATAAAATAAAATATCAAAAGAAGTCGCGAAAACGAAATTTTCCGGTACAAACTTTATGCATGTACGATAGCTTGTTTGTCATTTATATCGCTCTATAAAGGAAGTTTTACAAATGTTACCGCTCGCCGTCCCCTTCATAGAAATCGGAGGAAAGCAAAAAATTACCATAGCCAGTATCTGTGACAAAAAGGAAACCTTGTAAAACTTTAAGAGATATAAAAGGCCGCCCAAGATCGCTCGCTGTGAGGTTACGCATAATTTTAACGTTTCACATAGCGCTAATTTATTACACCCAGGTTTTTAGGGTGTACGAGGGGACACGTGACCAGCCGATGCCAGGGCCTTTTCCCGCCCCACCCATTTTTTAAGGGAAAAGCCCTGGGGACGAGGTTGGTAGGTGTAGTATCTGTAGAAGCCTAGTAGCTGTAGTAAGTGTAGTAACTGTAGTAGCTGTAGTAAGTGTAGTAGCCGTTGTGTTAGTCCTCCGCTTCAAAACGAGCAAACTCAACCAAACAGTCTTTAATCAGGGAAAACTCAAATCAACTTCAATCAACTTACAAGAACGTCCCCGAAACGTTTTCTGAGTATGCGATATTATGTCAGCGGTATTGACTACTACTTCATAATATCACATACTCAGAAAACGTTTCGGGGACGTTCTTGTAAGTTGATTGAAGTTGATTTGAGTTTTCCCTGATTAAAGACTGTTTGGTTGAGTTTGCTCGTTTTGAAGCTGAGGACTAACACATGGTGTCAGAAGTTAATGGATGAAGCTGTTTGCCGACCGCATTTGTGAAATATTTGTCTTGTGAAAACCTTGGTTCGTTGCTGTTCGCATAAATCGAAACCGCGTGGTGTGAAATGGCGGCCGGGCGTCTGTTAAACCCGCCAGATCATCTGCAGCTTTCAAGTGGAAATGTATCTCAGAATCGGAAAAGGTTTAAACAAAAGTGGAGTAACTATGAGCTAGCTATCAGAACAGCCAGAAAGGAAGACCCCATTCGCGTAGCAACTTTTCTCACTGTGATCGGCGACGAAGCGCTAGATGTTTACAATGCATTCACGTGGGACAGTGACGAAGACAAAGTCAAAATGGATAAAGTTCTAGAGCATTTTGAGCAGTATTGTGAGCCTCGCAAGAATACAATTTACGAAAGGTATTTATTCTTTTCGCGTGGACAGGAAAGTGGGGAGCCCATTGATAAATATTCCACAGTTCTACGAAACATGACAGACTCTAGTGAATTTCAAGATTTGAAAGATTCATTGGTACGTGACCACATCGTGTTTGGAATCGCTGATGACAACGTGAGAGAGCGGTTGCTGCGAGTCCCAGATTTGACGCTGAATAAAGCTCTAAAAATTGCACGAGCTGCCGAAGCAACCCAAAGCCAGCTGAAACAAATGCAAAACTTGCACGAGGTTAATGCAGTGGGGAAGAAGAAAGAAAAATTCTTCCGAAAGAAACAAGAAGAGAAGAAGAAATCAGCAAACGGAAGTACTCAGCAGATCGACTGCAAGTTTTGTGGCAGGAAACATGTACCAGACAGATCAAAGTGCCCTGCATATGGCCAACAGTGCAACAAGTGTGGAAAAAGCAACCATTTTGCTGCGAAGTGTACAGGAAGAAGGCAGTCCAGTCGTAATTTACATGCCAATCAGAATTTGAATTATGTGCAAGAAGATTCAGATGGGAGTCAATTTGAAGAGTATACTATTGATGTAATAACTTATCAAGTCAGTGCTGTTGAAGAAAAGAAACACCCAAAACAGTTGTTTACATCAGTCAAAGTAAACAATGCTAAAGATGTTACATTTCAGTTGGACTGTGGAGCAACTTGTAATTTGCTATCACTAAAAGAATTCTCAAGCATTATGGGGGATCCCAAAGATCTATATTTGAAGAAAACATCTGCAATACTCAAGATGTACAATGGAACCACTGACTCCACTTGGAAAGTGCACTCTCAAATGTGCCAAAGGTGAGATGAGTAGAGATGCAGATTTTTTTATAACTGATGAGGATGTCAGGCCTCTATTGGGTGCTGAGACATGTCAGGAACTAAAGTTAATCAAGGTTATGACAAGTGACATTTCAGAGTCGGGAACTTTGAACGCAGTAAATGACAAGGTTCAAACAGCCCACATTGTTCTAACCAGAGATCAAATTTTGAAAGAGTACAGTGATGTTTTTGAGGGATTAGGATGCATGGATGGACCATACCATATGGAACTTGATGAAACTGTAAAACCTGTTGTCCACCCCCCTAGAAAAGTACCTGTATCACTGAGAGACCGTCTAAAGGAAGAACTGGACAAGTTAGTCAGAGAGAAAGTTATCACCCCCGTTACAGAACCTACAAGTTGGGTGTCTAGTTTGGTTCTAGTCAACAAGCCAGAGAAGTTAAGAATTTGTATTGACCCACAAGATTTAAACAGAGCCCTGCTGAGAGCCCATTATCCTCTCCCCACCATTGAAGACGTGGCCACTAGGCTATGCAAGGCTAAAGTCTTCTCAGTCTTGGATGCAAAGAATGGATTCTGGCAAGTTCAGCTAGACAAACCGTCGTCACTCTTGACCACATTCAATACACCTTTTGGCCGTTATCGTTGGCTTCGCTTACCGTTTGGAATCAAAACAGCCCCAGAAGAGTACCAGCGGAGAATCCATGAAAGCCTACAAGGTCTTAAAGGTATAGAAGACATTGTAGATGACATACTCTGTGTTGGCGAGGGTGACACCTATGAAAGTGCGGTTAAGGATCATGACAGAAACCTAATTGCACTCCTAAAGAGATGTCGTGACAAGAATATCAAGTTGAATCCAAAGAAGTTACAGTTGAGAAAGCAAGAAGTGCCCTACATCGGTCATGTACTGACCCCTGATGGCCTCAAGCCGGATCCAAGTAAAGTCAAGGCAATTGTAGCAATGCCTACCCCTTCAGACAAGAAGGCCCTGCAAAGGCTGCTTGGAATGATTACGTATCTTGCGAAATTTCTGCCTAACCTGTCTGATGTGACGCAACCATTGAGACGTCTATTAGACAAAGATGTGCAATGGCACTGGAACGATACACACGAGAACTCATGGAAGCAAGTGAAACAGTTGATCACAAGAGAACCAGTGTTGAAGTATTTCGACCCCAGTAAAGAAGTAACTCTGCAGTGCGATGCATCGGAATCTGGACTTGGTGCTGTCATACTGCAAGAGGGTCAGCCTATAGCATTCTCGTCAAGAGCACTCACGAGTACTGAAAGAAATTATGCTCAAATAGAGAAAGAGCTGCTCAGCATAGTTCACGGGTGCATACGCTTTGACCAGTACGTTTATGGTATACCAGTTACAGTACAGACAGATCACAAGCCGCTAGAGAGCATTTTCAAGAAATCTCTGCTTTCAGCCCCCAAAAGGCTCCAAAGAATGTTATTACAGCTCCAGAGGTATAGCTTGAATATAGTGTACAAGCCTGGAAAGGAACTATTCATTGCTGATACACTCAGTCGAGCATTCCTTCCCAATAAGCCGAGTACAGAAGAGTTGAAGTCGGAGGTTTTATTAGTCAAACAGGAAGAGTATCTAATCAAATCCATTGAAGAGATCAACATGGTCGAGTTTCTGCCCATCACAAGTGAACGCCTTGTTGATCTCAGAAGAAAAACTGAACTTGACGAAGGTCTTCAGCAGTTGAAACATATTATCAAGATTGGTTGGCCAGAAACAAAAGAAGAAGTCCCATCAGAAATCAGGAGATATTTTGACTTCAAAGAAGAGCTCAGCATCCAAGATGGTATCCTCTTCAAAGGAAATCGAGTAATTGTACCTGTAGCGCTAAGGCCCCACATGATAACGCAAGTACACTCAAGCCACCTTGGTATTGAAAGCTGTTTAAATAAAGCAAGAGATGTCCTGTTTTGGCCTGGCATGACCGCCGAGATCAAGGACTGTGTTTCTAAATGTGAAACATGTAACACTTATCAGACAAACCAGCAGAAAGAACCACTCATACCTCATGATCCACCTAAACGCCCTTGGTCTCATGTGGCAACAGACCTTTTCAGTTTTGACAACAAAGAATGGTTCATCATCGTTGACCACTGGTCAGATTACTTTGAACTGAACCAATTATCCAGTACCAACTCAAGTTCTGTTATCAAGTCTCTCAAGAATCAGTTCGCACGCCATGGCATACCTGATACTCTGTATTCTGACAACGGACCACAGTTTGCTTCCAGAGAATTCAAAGAATTTGCATCCGCCTGGCATTTTGACCACCAAACGTCCTCACCACACTATCCACAATCAAATGGCAAGATTGAAAATGCTGTAAAGACAGCTAAGAAGTTACTAACCAAAGCAAAGGCAAGTGGACAAGATCCATACTTGGCCATTTTGGACTGGCGCAACACACCTTCACCCAGTATTGGATCATCACCAGTACAAAGATTGTTTGGACGACGCACAAAGACACTGTTACCTACAGCAGGAACTTTGTTACAACCAAAGATCATGGAGGGAACTGAAGACAAGCTCAAAGAAAGAAAGACGAAACAAGCACTGTTTTACAACAAAGGAACAAAAGAGCTTCCTGAGCTTCAACCCGGAGACACAGTGCGCATGAAACCGCTGCCATCAGACAAAGAAAAGCTGTGGAGAAAGGGATCGGTTGTCAAACAAGTAGCACCTCGCTCCTACGAGGTAGATCTCCAAGGAACTATGTTCAGGAGAAATAGAAGACACTTGGTAAAGACCAAGGAACCATCGCCACAGTTGGATTTGGAATCCCAAGAAAACCTGCCAGCTAGTAGTACCCCTTTGCCTGTGGAAGGACCACCTGTGATGCAAACAAGATCTGGTAGAATCATTCATAGACCTGGACGACTACGAGATTTTGTTTAAGGAACGTTGTTTAGGACTTTGAACTGTCATCATCTGACTGATTGTTTGATTGCCTTATTGTAAATAAGTTTTCTTTTCATGAGAAGGGAGATGTGATATTATGAAGCAGTAGTCAATACCGATGACATAATATCGCATACTCAGAAAACGTTTCGGGTACGTTCTTGTAAATTGATTGAAGTTGATTTGAGTTTTCGCTGATTAAAGACTGGTTGAGTTTGCTCGTTTTGAAGCTAAGGACTAACACAGCTGTAGCAAGTATAGTAGCTGTAGTAGCTTAGTAAGTGTAGTAAGTGTAGTAGCTGTAGTAGCTTAGTAAGTGTAGTAAGTGTAGTAGCTGTAGTAAATGTAGTAACTGTAGTAGCTGTAGTAAGTGTAATAACAGTAGTAAGTGTAGTAGCTGTTGTAAATGTAGTAGCTGTTGTAAATGTAGTAGCTGTAGTAAGTGTAGTAGCTGTAGTAGCTGTAGTAAGTGTAGTATGTGTAGTAGGTGTAGTAAGTGTAATAGCTGTAGTAAGTGTAGTAAGTGTAGTAGCTGTAGTAAGTGTAGTATGTGTACTACACATACAGCTACTTCACCTACTACACTTAATAAGGTTACTACACTTACTACAGCTTCTACAGCTACTACACCTACTACAGTTACTACAGTTACTACAGATACTACACTTACTACATTTACTACAGCTACTACAGCTACTACACTTACTATACTTACTACAGCTACTACAGCTACTAAATACGAAATGAAATGATCAAAGCAAGCCTCGAACCACTAATGCCTGTCTATGTCAAACTTTTTAACCTCATTTTACAATCCGGAAAAATGCCAGATGTTTGGTGTCAAGGCCTCATAACCCCAGTTTACAAATCTGGTGACAAGAGTGATCCAACAAATTACAGAGGCATATGTGTTTCTAGTTACCTTTGTCGAGATATTTTTAGTTGCATTGTGTGACAAGTGATTTGCGTTATGTGATTTCCTTTTTGTGGTTTCAATGTATACGAAAGAATCAATTAATCTGTAACCTGTCCATCATCGTTGACTAGGAATTTAGGGTGTGTCGCGCGTCAGTGTAACTAACCAACAAAAATATTATTCACTTCTATCAATAATTCGGGACGAGATCAGTGTACATTGTACTAAAGTGAAAATAAACCGTGAAGTTTGCGAAAACTGCCTGGTGTTTTGTGGGCATTCGCAACAACCTTGGAAAACTGTTCTGTTCTATTTTAAATCGAATACTTCACTTGTATTTTGAGGAAAATAAGATATTACATAATTCCCAAATTGGCTTTTTGCCTGAAAACCGCACTGCAGACCATGTTTTCACTCTAAGGACCCTAATAGATAAATATGTGCATTATCACAAGGAAAAAGTCTGCGCTTGTTTCGTAGATTTCCGCAAAGCGTTTGACTCTGTTTGGCACGAAGGATTGTTTTATAAGCTGCTAAAAACGAATATAGGAGGAAACTTGTACAACGTCATGAAAAGCCTTTATTGCAACTCGACATGTTCCATCAAAATCGGTGAAAACAAAACACAGCCTTTTTCATATTCCAGAGGTGTACGTCAAGGCAGTATTTTAAGCCCTCTTTTATTTAACCTCTATTTAAACAATCTACCACATTTATTCAAAAACACCTTATCTGACCCATTTGTTCTTCCAAATGGGAAAAAAATAAATTCACTTTTGTACGCAGATGATTTAGTTATTCTATCAAGATCGAAAACTGGATTACAGAACTGTTTAAATGCGCTTTCCTTGTATTGTGACAAATGGAAGCTAAAAATTAATCCGAAGAAAACAAAAATTATGATATTCCAGAAACGCCCAAAAAAATCTATTGACATCAAATTCAACATAGGCAGTGAGTCAATTGAAATTGTCCAAGAATACACTTATTTAGGTACACGTTTAACTCCAACGCGAAACTTTACACTTGCACTCGAACACTTAAAAGAAAAGGCCCTTCACGCGTTTCTAGTATTCGGAAGCGGACAATTCTTAACAAACTTAATCCTAATACTGCATCCCAAATTTTTGATACCATGGTATTCCCAATCTTGAGTTACAACAGCGAGGTATGGGGAATGTACACCAAGCAAGATTCTAAAAAATGGGATAGCTCCCCAATAGAAAAAATCCACCTCAAATTCTGTAAACGTTACTTAGAGGTTAACAATAAGGCCTCTAACATAGCTTGCAGAGCTGAACTTGATAGATTGCCGCTGCTTATCCCGATAAATCAGAAAATTATGAAATATTTTGTTTACCTCAACAACAAAGATAATGACTCTATAGTCAAACAGTCTTTCCTTATGTCAAAGAATCTACATTCTATGAATAATTCCGGATATTTTTCCAATTTCATAAACATGCTTGAACAATACAATCTAACCAGTTTAGATGCTGAATCTCTAGATAATGATAAAATTAGACGATATATACCACAGAAATGAGAGAGAAATATCTATCTTTTTGGCGGCACAGCCTCGAAAATTCAAAAAAACTAGAATTTTATAAAACTTTTAAAGATGAATATTCTACATCTGATTATCTCTACCAGTTAAGACATTATGACGAACGACAGAATTTTGTTAAATTTAAAATAAGTAATCACAAACTTATGATTGAACATGGTCGATACCAAATCGATCATTTGCCAAGAGAAAATAGATTATGTCCCTTATGTAACTCAAATCAGGTAGAAGATGAGATTCATTTCCTCTTTCAATGTAACAAATACTCAGTACAGAGACAGGCATTTATTAATCAAATCAGTCGAATAATATCTGACTTTGACAAGAAATCATCTCCAGAAAGCATAAAACTGATAATGAATTCGAAGGAACATCACGTAAATAAGTTAGTTATGAAGTTTATTTCCTCCTGTATGAAAATACATGATTCATTGTTAGTAATGTAACTGAATTTTTCTAGATTATTATTAGTGCTGTTTGTTTTATATTTTGATTGTCATATGCATGCTTTTGCAATACTGTAAAATGATGCGGTCATGCAAATAAAGCAATTTATTACTATTACTATTACTACACTTATTAAAGCTACTACAGCTACTGCACTTACCAGAGATACTACAGCTACTACAGTTACTACAGTTACTACACTTACTACAGATACTACAGCCACTACACTTAAGGGTGTGTTCCTTTCGGCGAATCCAAAAACGGATTTTTGATCCTAGATTTGCCAGATTTCGCGGTCGAAAGGAACGTGAAATCCGAAATTGGATTTGTAACCTTGGTAACCTTTCGCCAACGCGTGCAATATGCACGACAGCCTCTCAAAAGATGATGTGCTTTCTACTCTTTGACAAATTATGCGATTATACCGTGCGAATTTAGTGGTCGGCAGTTCGAATAGCGACGATGGAACATATAAAACAGACAAAGAAAGAAGCGCATTAAAATTGAAAATTATCTAAAGAATGTAAGCCAGTTTGATCCAGTTCCATTGCTCGGATTTTTTTATGTAACACGATCGAGTGCCTGTCGCGTCTACAAGCGAGTTTGTAGTTAGATAGCAGTCCATTTGTTACTTTTACTTATTTCTGATTTCAAGCAATCTTTAGAGACAAATGGTTAGTATATGGATATTTTAATGTATAAGGAACAATTTTCCAGTGTTTTCAGATGTTTTGCGGCAAACATGTGACAGCAACGAGGAAACTCTACGGCCTCTATGGGAATACTTCAACTGGAAATACCGCTGGATCATCTGACTAATTTCGGATCCACTGTGAATGGAACAGCGTAGATCACTAATCCGTTAATCTGGATTTGGATTCTTCGGATTTCCAATCCAATGAATCCTTTTTCAAAAAGGATTCACCAGATCAAAAATCCGGATTTGGATTTGCCGAAAGAAACGCGAAATCCGTTCTTAGATCTAAAATCCGTTTTTGGATTCACCGAAAGGAACACACCCTTACTTCTGTGCCTAGAGGCCCGACATGGCACTGGTGCCTCAGGACATTTCATGGGGTCATACATGAACTACTGACCTGTAATGTGGTGGATTGAAGTATGTCTTTGTCGAAGTCTCGTAAAGATCCACAATGGGACAAGACCGACTTAGCAGTATCGCCGTTATTAACATTGAAAGAAAGTATGCAAACAAGACAATAAAGAATGACATGCAAAGGATTATTGATATATTTGGGTGTCGAAGTAATCGTTCTTCATACTTCTTTTAGAGCTCAAATGGGTACGTTTTATCTCTCACTTCATGGTTTTGTATTTTAGAAATGCTCATCTCGATTTACCGAAAATATTTGCACTATTTTGAACGCCCGTGCTCTCACGGCATGGCGAAGAAAACTTGACGTCACGAAAGAATCATCTTGTGCATCTGTGACCAACAAGTTTCATTCGGGCAAATATTAATATTGTCTGTATTGTAAAACTGTGGAACAACATATGCAATGAAGCTTTGTTTTACCTCTCTTAGCTGTTTTAAATCATTTTTGATGAATCTGTATAGGTCTCTTTTAATGAATTGATGATGGCCTGCTCATGGTCTATCTCTCGTGTCCATGTCTGTAACTGAATACATATATATTTTTCGTTTTTTAAATTACTATTAGATTTCTCTACAGTCTGAGTCAGATGACAATTTTCTGCAAGAAGATTTTTCTTTTACTACAACTAGATTTTATTTTATTTTTTTGTATAGTATTTCAAATTCTTATATTTCCCTATGGTGGGCACCTCACATGGGTTTAAGTGTCCCATTCGTGTCCTTACCTTTTGGGTTTTAATTCTTTCTTTCCTTCTTCCTTTTTTTATCATGTTTGTATATTTCATTCTGTCTTGATCTTACCCATTAAAGCTTTAAATAAATAAATTTAAATAAAGATCAGCTCGTTATTTACTAGCTTTTAATGTCTCCACTAAGTAGTTATTGAGTGTTTTACCAACATCTTAAGTGAGTTAGAAAAGGAACCGAAAGTTTGGACTAACATTGCTCTAATACAGTAACTCAAAAGTGGAGAGTTTTCAGTTTTTTGCATGTAGTGATTTTAATTGTAATAATGAACAACTTTTATCTTGCTAGAGTAATAAGATCGAGTTTGTGTAGTGTGCAATTATGGCTTTTTATCTGTTGTTCAATAAGGTCCTTGTTATTAATATTTTTATAATAATGCAGACAGGGGCACCCAACGTCAATTTTTGGAAAATATCTGTTTGGAGGAAGATTTCAGATCTAAAATTTTCGGAACATTTGTTGTAAAATTTCTTGCTTGCCTGCCTCTCCTAGGATTTTCGAACATCTAAAAAAGGTATAATTGCCCATTTTTAACGGAATTTTACCCTAAAGGTCACCTAACATTTTAGGGAGCCTTTTTTCTGGTTGTAACTTTTGAAAAGGTAAGTTTTGATCCCTATAATTTTCGGATCACTAGACTTTCAGCTAGGAAATCCGAACAGAGGAAAAATTTTTAGGGGATAAAAATATGCCTATGTCTACAGTTTAAATACTAACATACGTTCAACAATTTATGCTATGTTTAAGTGGTTTTAAACTATATTCTGGTTGAGTGCCCCTTTTCAGAACCATGAGAAAATAACAAATTGAGCCATGAGGATGAAATTAAACCTGTCGGCTAATACGGATACAGTATGCACAACGACTGAATAATGATGAGAGTGCCCGTAAAGGCGGATGGAAATTCATTTGGCATTTTATCTTCATTAAAGGCAAATGAGTTGAACAGATACTAGCTGTACACAGTAATTTTCAGGGAGTTGTAATAACTCCTCTAGTGGGGCTAATTTAACTCCTTACAGTGGAGTTATTTTTTGGGAGTTATTTTAACTCCAAAAAGGAGTTTAAAGAACTCTTTTTCAGGAGTAAAAATGACCCCAGATATTGAGGAGTTAAAATAACCCCAAAAAAGGAGTTATCCTGTACCTAAAATTTTTACTCCACTTTCAGAGTTTAATTAATTCCAAAAGGAGTAAAAACAACCCACGTAAGGAGTAAAAGTAACCCCATTTCGGAATTATCTTAACTCCAGACTGGGAGTAAAAAGAACTCTTTTTCAGGAGTAAAAATGACCCCAAATTCGGAGTTAAATTAGGAGTTAAAATAACCCCAAAAAAGGGGTTATCCTGTACCTAAAATTTTTACTCCATTTTTGGAGTTATAATAACTCCCTAAAAATTACGGTGTAGTAATTTATTTATTGACAGATTGAATGAAATAGTTATTTGAAAATTCCTGTTGAAGTCCTTTAAAAACACCGAGTAGAACATCATTTCAGAATAATTTTTAGATTCCGTCACAGCAAGCAAAGAAATGCTGACAGTTTGTTTATTACCTCTTAGGTATTGGCAAAACCGTTTTTACACAGAAAGCTTCGTTCGACTGGTCTCAACACAGATCTCCAGAAAGGTTAAGAGCGTTTGATCTTTTCCTTCTGGTAAGATTACGGGACGTTTGTGATCTCCGAGATGTTCCGTCCATTTTGGCGGCTTCCAGAGCGCTGGCTAGTGATGGCACAGTTACCATGGACAACCTGTATAACTACGTTCGCCGCCATCAAGAAAAAGTCTTGCTTATCTTGGACGGCTACGATGAGTATGTTTACACTGCTGGAAAGCAATCGCCTGTCCTTGAAATCTGGAATAAAAGTCAGTTACGAGATTGCTGTGTTGTAATAACTTCAAGGGAAATGAATGCAGAGACTTTGACAAGTTCTAGTGATGCTGTTTTCAAGATAGACGGCTTCACGGATCAGCGCCAAGAAGATTTCGCTCGTAGATTTTTAGAAGATGATGAAGATGTTAAAAACTTTTTTGAATACCTGAAGCAGCACAAGCTAAGGAAACTAGCACAAATTCCTCTTCTTCTTTTAATAATGTGTCTACTCTGGAAGGAAAAACATCGCAAAGCACTACCAAAGAAACGCGCAGATATCTTCACTCAGTTTGTAAAGACTTTGTTTCATCACATGCGTGAAAAACAGTCTGCCGAGTCGCTGTTTGTTGAAGATTACTCAGATGAATTATATGCGTTAGGGCGCTCGGCCTTTGAAGCTCTCATCAACGATTGCCTGTATATCCCGAGAAGTGAATTACCTAGCTACGATCTGGTCGAGAGGCTGATTGAAGTTGGCCTCTTTCAGGTTTTAAATATATCAAGTTTAAATCCTGAAAAAGGTGTGTATTTCATTCATAAATCCCTGCAAGAATACCTTGCAGGAAGTTTCCTGAAAGAAGAGCTGATATTATCTAAAAAGAATGAAAGTACAAATTCCCTGTTAAAGTTGGACTCGGTTGAAAAGATTTTCAAAATGAATGAAGTAATAAAATTTGCTGGTGAGCTGTCAGAAGAAACCGCGCGAGAGATTGTGATTCACCTGATGAAAATGGCGGCGAACGAAGAAGGACTCACGAAGTACACCTTCGACAGCGAAACACCGTCACAGCTGGATTTTTCAAAAGACCAAAGAAATTTTCTAACACTCTCCACAGAGTTGTTTTTTTACTGTTCAGCTGAGACAAAAAGAAACCTCTTTGCTACATTTCTTTCCTCTTTCAGAGGAGTTCTTTTAATTGAAGCAGACCAGCTAAATGATCTTGTGAAAGAAAAGTTAGTTAAAACTACTGTAAACGTAAATTACGTTTTTTTCCCTCATAACGAAAAGTATACAGAGCAAGACTATAGAAACTTAACAATTTTATCTGAACAATTAAAAGCTTTCATTGCAACTTGTTCAGGAGAAAAGAAAGCATCAGAATTTTTAAGCAACTTAACATGCCGTCGAGTTGATGAATTTTTCCTAAAGAAAGAAGAAAACAACACTCACCTGTATTTTACACAAATTTGTAAAAGTTATTATCGAGGCATTTTATGTCCTCTTGCTGATATATTTAAGGCGTTAATAAGTAAACAAGAGACAACAGAGAAGACAAACATGAATGGTAATGAGTCAACTGAAGAGAGCAGCAGCAACTGTTGTTCAAAGCGTCATGGTCTCTCCAGGGTTCGGTGGATTTTAGCTTATGATGTGAACAGGTCAGATGTGGAACAGCTGATTGAGATAATGCCGTTTATCACCGCTTCACACTGGATAAGGGTTTGGGGTGAAGACGGTGAAGTGTACGATGCTGAGTTAACAGAGTCTCTGCTGAGGAGGATCCCAATAACACACAAACTGCAGAACTTATCACTCTATCGTATCAATGTAACATCATCACCTGCTGTGGAGTTCATCGACACTTTATTTCAAAAAGCTCCAAACTTGGAGTCGCTCTTCATGTCATACAATCCTCTTCTGGGTGCAGGAGTAGACAGCTTGATTCAACATCTCAGCTGCGCTCCTCACCTGAAGACACTGGACCTTGATGGAGTAAAGATGACTCCACAGCAGGTGAAAGATCTGACATCAGCTGTACAGAAGCACGGCAACATCACTGAACTGTGGTCATCCTACCACGTAAGTTTTCCAATTTTATCGCAATTTGTTTCTTTATTCTTTGTTTACAGTTTATTTCCACTCAGCTCTTGCCTTTCGCCATTTTCCTTTCTTTGTCATTTTTATACTCGACGAAACACGAGATTTACTTTTGAAATCAAATCATAAACTTTAGCAGATTCAAAGTATCGTTTTAAATTCATTCCTTTCAATTGATTAAACTAAATTCAAAAGAATGTTTTAACCGAGAACAAGTAAATTATTCTGACGGTGTCTGCACTGTGCAAAATAATGGATCAGCGAGCAGATATGAAATTTATTTTCGAGTCTGGTTCAACTCGATGTGAGCTCACTTATAACAAACACTGTGCAACATAACAGAACACAAAAATTCCACAATATTATAAATTTCAGAATCAATTTTAATTCATTACTTTTTATAAAATGATGAACAAGAAGCATAAAGTCAAAATATGTTCAGTTCATGTTCAATTCAAACAAATAATTTGCAAAGTAAGAGAAAGAAAGGTTAACTTACAGTTTCACTTTTATCGCTAAGGTTTCCTAGAATCAGTCAGACTCCAGAAAAGTTTGTTTGAGAGTCCACAAAACGAAGAAGTCTTTTCAGAGGTGTCGTTTTCTTTGAGTGTTCTTGCGTGTCCTTTCATAAATGACCTCGATCGCTCAGTTTTGTAGGTTTTGTTAGATAACTTTCCACAAAACAGACAATTCCTCAGAGACACTTTTGTTCAAATTTAACGCCATACATTTTATCGTAGGTAATTGCACTCCACTATGGTATTAACTGTCAAATTTTGTCGGCGACATGTTTTTCCAGCTTGACGACAACCACTATGACGTTAGCAAATCCTGCGTCGCTTTATGTCTTCAATTAATAAGTTTTTTTCCTGCTAGCCTCCACAAATCCTTTGACAAATTCCGCAAATTCCAGAGTAAATAAGCCGGATCTTTCTCTCACTCACGTTTTTACGTTGTTTTCTAATTCTTTTTTCAAATCCCGTCCATCTTGAGCATTTTTGCGTTGAATTTTTTCGTTGAAGAACAAACTCAACTAAAATGAACAGCAAACTACAAAATCAACAAACTGCCATTCAAAGTGGCGTGAAAGAAGGCTAGTGACGTGGACACAGCTGATTGGTTAAATTTAAGCATATAAAATATTCCTGTCAATCACGATATGGTACGTGGTAGCATTTTCCCGCCTTTTGTTCGCGTGTAGCGCCAGCTTTCCCGCCTTCCCATTTATTTTTCGGTCCGCACCTATGACCTTGGGTTAGAAAAAAGGTAACTACTTTCTGTTCAAAGTGAGTATTTCTAAAATACCTTTCGCCACCAAAAATTACTTTGTCTAACTGGTTGCTCTTGCTTTTCTTGTTTCTAATTAAATCATCATGGGTGCTAAAAAAAAAAAAACCGAAATATTAGGTTTGGCAGAAAAAATTCAAGGTCAATCATTGATTATTAAAAACTGTCTGTCCCCTTTGTAAACTTTGGGAGTTCACATGATCGTGTGTTTCAGACCTTTTTATCTCCGATAATTGAAAAGAAACAACAACACTTGGAGTTTACACTGAATGTAAAGCTAGCCAGGGCATTTATTCCACATATATACCGTTACCACCCCCCCCCCGCCCCCCACCACCACCCATTTTGAACCCCCTCTGCAGTGATCTGAAGGAGTTTTTCATTCTATTATATTAGAGAAGTGACTCTTTTTTTTTTTTTGAAATTTGGTTAAGTTTCCGCAGCGACCGCTTGACAAAGAGCTTGCGTAGTAGAGATTTGACTGTATTAAGGTTTTGTTGCTGTACATTCATTGCACCCGCGTGGTCTGAACTTGCTGATAATGGAGTTTTTACCTTTATATTGTTTCTCGTTTCCTCTGGTCACGTTTCAGTAAAACGAAAACTAAGTTTACGCCTGAAAACCTTACATTTAATGTTTATTGTATGGTCGACGTTTCATGTTTCAGGTGTCCGATGGCGATCCCCTACCTGAACACGAGTGGCCATCAGAGGACTATTGGAAATTGTTGTTCCCTCAGCTCTTTCCTAATGCTTCATCTGAAGTAGAGGACGATCAGGAGCAGGTGGGTCATAGAAATAAGGTCAAAAGAAGGCATAGTTTTGACATGAGTTTTGTTTTTGAAATTCATTTCAGTTCACTTCTTGTAGTTTAATCAATGCTTTGTATAAGATTTACTTAACAAAGGTTATTCTTCAACTTTCATTGATTGCAAGTGAAGGTCTGTTTTTCTGTTCCTTGATCATTGGACATGTGAATTGCATTCAAAGTAACCGGCACCGTCGTTTTGCTCATCAGCGTCGCGGGTCGTCAGTCCCAGTTTCTCTTCCGGCGTGTTTTATCAGATTAAAAACCCCTCATTTGGTTTAAATTGTCTTCATGAGGTGTACTACTGAGTTTTCAAGTCCTACTTTATGAATTTGAACGTTATTTTTCTTGATATTCAAGACTTTATTTACATTCTATCAACGAGACACGAACTTAGTTGTTGGGTTTACGTCACGTACCATGAGGCTTGCCGGAAAAATTAAATTGACTAAAAAGCGTAGCGTTAATTCTTGTTACAATTGATCTAACTAGTCAGTATAAGATCATGAGTTTGTCCTGCTTTGGGACTGAGATTCTCTCTCTTTGTGAATCAGTGAAAGGTTCCGGCAATTCTGCTTTTTTACAAAAAGATCAACTCTGCTACTTGAAAAGAGCAGAAAAATTAACTTTCTGCATTATTTTTCATAGAACAACATGCAAAATTGTTACCTTTTTTGTTAATGCTACTCGATTAGCTGAGAAGTTAAAAAAGGTACCTTTTTAGAAAAAAAAAGGCGGGTATTTTAAGCTTTCGGGTGAAAACATTTAACGTCAATATTGTCCGCTTTTCATCCATTTCTCACTTTACCAAACAAAACTTTAAAGCGCCAAAAAGGTATCTTTTTTCAGTTTGAAGCGATCTCTTCAAAAGCGCGAAAAAGGTACCCGTTTTTTGCGGTTTAGAAACGTTCCTATCAAAAGAGCAAAAAAGGCACCTTTTTTTCGGTTACAAGCAATCTCATCAAAAGCGTGCGAAAACGGTACCTTTAAAAATAAATGACGTTTCAATTAAAGTCCTACTGATTGACAGATGTCAAGCAACCGTTGGCGCCCCTAACGAACGATACGCAGACGTTTTTAGGGGACTTTATGTCCCGTTTCTACAATCGAATTTCGCAGTCCCGAATCTAATTAAAACGAGCAAAACCCATCCTAGACTGCCCTAGAAACACCTGTATGGGAGGGTATTCCTCAATGGCTCCGGCTATTTAACAGAAATGGCTCGGACGCGCAATATTATAATTATCGCGTCGTGCATTATTGGCATATTTTCCAACCTACGTACGTGGACGAGGGTCTACTATGGGGAATCATCGGACTAAAAGAAACTGAAGAGATCCGAAAATACTGGTTACCATCCAAATGGATGAAATAGCTACTGGTTCTTTCAAACTAGATGCATGTGGAGGACCTAAGCAAGCCGGCCCATTTTTAAGCGTGGAGCGAAGACTTAAAAAAAGTCCTATATGAAAAGTCGAACCATTTTAATCTGCGAAAAAAAAAAAATCAGATTCTACGTCGATCTACGACAAACAGCAGAGAAGTGTTTTTTTTTTTTCTTTTAAGTCTAAACTGAGCGGGTTATCATAATAACTGTTTTGTTTCGTGGGTGCCTTTTTTCACTCCGGAACGAGTTATTAGAGACTTCAGTCCAGAGGTTTAATAAACTGTTTTGCAATAATGCAAACTAGATTTCGGATTTGACCTCGGGTGACTTTTGAGCCGCAAGCCATGCGCTGTAAAGCCATTAACCGTAAATGACACAATCCTTTTGAGACCCCCTTACTTACACTAAAGTGAGCCTGAAAAGCTTTTATTTTCCCTTCTTAGGCCTAGGCCTTTTTACGTTAATAATGCTAGCATTTTTTGGAGCATTTTAGTGGAATTTTCCGAGAAATTTATTATCTTTTTTTTTTTCAGAGAAAATGAAAATGAAAACTTTTAAAGAGAAAATGAACACTTAAAGTCGATATTTAACCCATTCGCTCCTGGAGATTTTGCCGAAAAACGCGTTTTGAAGCTAGTCGAGTGGTTTTCTGGTCACTGTCGTGCTATAAAGAGCTAAAACTTACCACAAACTGGTTTACAGGTCGAACACTTCGCGGCCTTCTGATCCAGATGCAAAATATCAGCTTGAGAAGTTCGGGCATGCGCAGAAAGCAAAATGTCGAGGTAGTTTTTGGGTTTAAAAGTGACACAGCAGTCTTGACTTTTACTTTTCGCTTTCTCTCCTCCCTTCTTTTTTCGCTTTTCTTGCCTCATTTTTTTTTTCTCTTGCTGGGCATTTAGAAGGCTTCATTTTGGTGGGAAGAGTTTTTAGCAAAGCTTTTAGGATCTTAGGATTAGGTGAAAGGAAAGGTAGGTGGGTAATGGAACAAGATTTTCATGGAGATTTTCCGGTCAATGTCACGTGGTTTTTTGCTTGTTTCTCCGGTGTCCTTGACTGAATCGTGCTCATTCTGGTATGGTTTGAAAGATCTCTTCACTCTGCACAAGTTAGCGAAGAAAGTTGTCCTTGACCTTTAAAACTGATGACGTCACAATGGGTAGAAAGGACCTGGATCCGCACGGGCGGTTACGGGCGGTTCAGGGGCGAATGGGTTAAAAAAGAAGAAAATTCAAATGCCACCCTTATACAACCGTTTATAATAAGGGATTATCGGTTGTTGTATTAAAATCATTAACTGCAACATATACGTTGTTGTTATACCACTTAATACGTTTTTGTTAGCGTAAAAATTAATAAAAAAGACTCCGTATAATGAGCATTATCGAGCATTTTAGTGACTTTTTTGGGGAGAAGCGAACTTTTAGTGAAAAAAATGGAGCATTATGGATTAAGGTGGAACATTTTAGTGGGAAAACAAAAGCATAAGGTACAAAAGCCC